ACTGAGTCAGCAAAATGCATTATTTTCTACAACATCCCACACACACACTCTCAATCTCGCACCTCAATTCCAGTTTCATCATTACAGAGCCAATTGGGTTGAAGGAATCACTACAAAAAAAACAAAACTAATGCTTGAAATACTAGCGGAAAATTCAGCCTGTTTAAATAACGATAGAGCTCATCTTCAGCGCTCCATCCAGAGCCCTACATTCATACATAAACACAACTGTAAATCACACACACCCATTGGCCGAGTTGAACAGCCCACTGCGATGAGTTTTATGGAAGAGGCAAAAAAAGTGACCTATGCAGACCAATTTATGAGGGGGAAAAGGAAAGGAATAAAAAATTTCCCATTTGCGCATTTTGAGATCTAAAAGTAACGAAATGAAAACCGGTTCCTATAAATGCATCTTCGCTCTTGTTCGCACACGATCTCACGCACGCTTGCACCTCGACATGATAACCCCTAATACATGTGTACACATATATACATAGAGCTGTGTGCCCCCACAATTTATAATGCATAATTTCTGTATATGCCAAGAATAAAATCTTTCTAAATAAAATACATGTTTCTGCGAAGGAAGGTTTGTTAGAAAGGGAAACAGGCGGGCGGGAGGTAGGGATGGATGCGGGTTGGATTTTATCAGAAAGGGAAAGAGGAAGAGAGAAGGAGGGAAGAAAGGAAGGAAGGAAGGGGGAAAACGATGCTGTCCTCTACTGTGTGCTGGTCCCTTATAGGGTCATCGACATCCCAAGCTGTGGCAGAATCTACGTTCCTCATCCACAGTTCATTTAGAGCAGTAAATAATAAACAAATCTCAGTCTGTAAATCCATAATGGTGCCAAACGGTACAAATGGAAACACACTTGGAGCTCAAAGGGGCTCCGGTTCACGTCCAGACAACGAGCGATCCGGTAACGTGTGGCTGTGTCCGGTGGAACAGGAAAGGGATGATGGGATAGAAGGAAGAGAGAGAGAGAGAAGGAAAGGTGGCGTGATAAAGGTGGAATGGAGCTGAGAAAGAAAAGAGGTAGAGGAAAAA